TGTGTCTAGAAACCCATTTTGACGTGTCACTGGCCCCAAAAACTTCTTCCGTGACGATGTCAACATTGCATGTTTTCTACCTACTTATGCTTACGTATTTACCTCGATTCAGCACAACCCCGTAGTTCAGGCCGACGAAGGCGTCCACTACCCCTCGCATAGTAACCGCGTATAGGCCGTCCAGACGACCATTAAGCGCATGACAAAGTATAAGCGCATTCATGTGCGGCTGACTCATAGTAGGCTAAATTTGGCCGCGTGGGTCACTTTTACCGACCACAACTGGGTGTAATTCTGGCCTCTCAAACGCACACGACCGAATACAAAGTTGCGAACTTGATACGAATTGGTCCTCAATCGCGTCTGGGAGCCTTCCCCCTCCCCAGCACATTCATTATTGTAAGAGAGGCGCCGTTATCGCCATACACTCAGACAGAAGAAAATAGAATAACGCTGGTAATGCCGGCAACCAATAGTGTTTGAATCGGTCTTCTGTTCGGGCTCACGCCCCGGCTGAGCCAAGGAAATGTCGTGTATGTACTCATTTTGGTGAATTCCAAAACTTCCCCAGTGAAATGTGCAACAAAATTCCTTCCACTGTGTTCCATTTTATTGCGAAAAGGAAGGCAAAATGCTTCAAGCGTAATCATCGCGATCAAATGCGTATGGTTTTTCCCTCGTCAATGAAAATGACCAACTAGTATCAGTATCAGTATATCGGAAACCATCCTCATGGTGGCTGTTATGGTTTCAGGTCATACAGGTGCAGTGTATGAAAAGGCAGACACAAAGGTATACAGAAATGATAATGAAGTCTATGATTCTCTAGAGGTCAGTTTTTCACGCTGATTAGGACTTGTTTCCTCTTTGTAGATGGGAAGGACTACTGTTTGGGAAAGGGCGGACGAGTGCCCCCCCCCCCCCCCCCTCACTCGGCAACATCCATGGCCATGGTCGATGGAGAGATGACACAGCCAAGTAAAAAAAAGAAGAAAATTCCCTTAAAAACCTGACACTCAGCTAATGACAAGCGGCACTAGATATTCATACTGCAAATGCTTATGCTGCCATACAGACTTTACCCGATGAATGAAACCAAAGACCAGAATCTAGTCACTTGTGTTCAGATTTGGCTTCGAATTTCTGCTAGTTCAGTTCGGTCTTAACGGAGCCTTGGTTTGTTGAAAGTGGCTTGTTCCGAAAAAGCGTTTGCCTTAAGTCAGGATTTGGGCATTGCCCCTTGCACATCATGCTCTCTAAAAAAGCATGGCAGGTCGACGTCTCCGGGTGGTCCGACGCGCGCGTGACGAGGCACACACAAAGGTGGTCCTGAATTGATTTCCTGACACTGATCTCTTGCCTCTTGCCTGCTTAAAGCTCTACTCGCTCTTTCGTTTCATCGAAGCCTGCACGTGATTTTCCACGCTATTTCTTTAATACCGAATTACCGGACAAGCTACATATGCAGGAATGGCAGCGTTGGGCGCCCGATGGGCAAGTTTGTTTTGTTAAAGCTCACCGCGTAGGTTCTGTTCGGAAGGAGAGGGGGGGGGGGGATTAAGCTGACATCCCGCAGATGGCTTGAGGCTAAATGCTCTCTGTTCTATTTTTGGCTTGTTTCAGAAATCTCGAATTAGCGTACGGTCGATCACCTTTTTTTCTTATTGTGTTGGAATTGTTTTTTGTACGCCTCCGTTGTCCGTTCAGCCTTCTGCTTAGTCCCTGCGCTCTGAGTGGTTCGACACCCGACCGGTGTTCTGGTTAAGTGTTGGTACGCGACTTATCATGCATTTGTGTATCAACAAAAACCACTAAAAAAAGGGATGGTAGCAAGCCGTGCCGGCCAGGACACTCGGAAACATGCAAGAATAAGACGAACACCTAAACAGTGGCACTCACCACACTCGTTCATACAATCACCGACTCTTCCCTCCAGTGATCCCATTTCATCCGGCTAGCTCCGGGAGGAAATGTTTAAGTCCTCACATGATTAAAGCGGTCGTGCTCCTCAGAGGCCACGATTGAGTTCTCGCCAGTCCGGCGAAAGAGTGGCTCTCCGAAAATCCTAAGAACGTGACTTCCTTATACGTCGGGAAAGTGGCCGTAAATGGTTGGGTACGGCCAGGAGGCACGGATGCTGACGAACCGCTAGCTCCGTCCTCCCCTCGAGATCGATGTATAGAAGGTAATCGGTCGTCAGGTCGAAGGTAATCAGGTCGAGGTCGAAGGTCGAAGGTCGCCGCGACGCGGTTGCCAGTGCGAGCTGCCGGTTTTGGCGGCGACGCCCGGCTCCGGCGCCTGCGGCTTGTCCCATCCCCACGGGCGGGGTCGGCAGGCGAAGACCGTGAGCGCCGGCTGGCGCCAGGGAGAAGAGACAACCCGCGACCGTTCGTTGTGATGATGTGTCGGTTTGTTCAGGCGGGCTGAAAGAAGGTCAAAAAATGTCCTGGTACGTCTGATGGGCTTCCAAGAAGCTCTTTCCACAGTAAAAATGTATTCAAATCATGCCGGAGACCCTTTGTATGCTGATATCATTAACATGCGCTCGGATGGGGGTCGAAATGACCCCCCGAAGGTTTTTCCAGAATGGTTTCCAAACGGTGCGGCATAGCCGCGCCCAATTTTGCATACCTGTAGAAAATTGAATAGCGGATCGATTGGTATAAAACCAAGGCGTACCTTGTAAGGTCGCTGATCTATGGCAGGGTCAAAGTTAGGCCATAGCTTCAGTGAAGGCAGTTTTTAGGGAATCGTTCAGTCTGATGCACAGTGGAGCGTTAGACAAAATCATACATCTCTGAGATGCTTTCTCGGGCCAAAAAAATGTGGCATGTGCAAGTTACGTTGACCTAAGGTCAGGTATGAAGGTCAGACCAAGGTCAAAACCACCCTGATTTATAACTCTAGGGTCTGCTGTATGGAACAGCTTCTGGTGCTCCTTCCAAATTTATTGCAGCAGCAACCGCATTACAATCTTCCATGGGCATCTTTGAGGTCAGAATAAGTCAATGACGTAAGATGACCAAGGTCGGCATTTTGTTTTGGACCATACTGCCTAGCGTAATCTTTGTCAGTTATTCAAATGAAAAACTCGGAGCAGCCTTGTATGGTTTTGGTCACCAGGACCTTCAAAAGGTCAAGCAAGGACACTGACCTTAAATGTGCTTGTGACCTTTTGCTTAAAAACAGTTATCTAATTTCTGGGGGTAGTTAAGAGACGAACCTGTAATTTGACCTTGCTTGCCCCTATTTGGCCCGAAGGTCATGACCTACGAGCCTCAACTTGGATGAGTTGACTTGGACTGGATGCAATGAGTTCACGCACAGGTCAACAACCCCCATAAATTTGGTGTCGCTAGCTTTCTTAGGTTTCGATATCTCAGAAGGGCCAAATGGACCCCCACCCGAGCGAAGGGTATCCAGTCGACCACCCGGGCGCGTGTTAATTGATGTAATTACATTTCTTACAAATGGGTCCAACATAATTTGCAACCCAGTACTCATCACCGATGAATCATGTTTCCAATTCATTGCAAGCTGCAATGCTACACAATGATTGTGCGTTTCCCTTCGCGAGTTCTATCCACAAAGCTGCATCCATCCTGCATCAATCATCTCAGCATCCATCGTTGCCGCCTTGCATTGCGCAAAAGCTACGAACCAAGACTCTCGCGAAGACAGATGGACCGCTGCAGACGCTGTGGATCTTGGCGTCGTGGCGTAACGGCCCGCCAATTACGGCGGGCGTTACGTACCGCCCACCAAACGGCCTCGCCATGCCCAGTCTTGAGAATCTGCATGAAAAGTTCCAAGAAGCCCCAACATAGGCAGGCCCGTCTTCATCGTGGGTGACACCAACTCCAAGACGCTGGATGCAAGTTGGCCGTCTGCACGACTCTTATCTGAAATTTTCCGTGAAATGAACATGCTGCGGCTCGTACGCGGCCCTACTTGACCTCCAGCCGACCCTCTCGGCACTGGACCAAGTGATTTGCAGGCACGGCCATTTGCGTTGCGAGCTTTTTCCCAACGATCATTTAAACAAACGAGCTTGACCAAGCGAACACACCAAAAAGGGTGTGGTCTGCAAAATGGCTGGGGGGGGGGGGGAGGAACTGAGCAGTTATGAGCATATGAAATGACGCAGCTTTCTCCAATATATGCTAGCGGACGGGTTTATCCACCGATTTGGCCCACTTCTCGTTTGGCGGCAGTTCAAGTTTGGGAAAGGGTAAGGAGAAGGGGGAGGTTAGAGCCAACCACCAACTGGATATGAAACTGCACCCCAGTACTTCAATCTACCCGAACTTTTTTAAGCATGCATTTTTAACTTTACGAACAAATATCCCTTCAAAACCCTGCGTATGCACATCTTACGTCAGTGAACGTCACGCATACGAATTATACTACGAACAACTGCCACGCAAACTTTTTAAACACGTTCTTTTGTCCGCATCCCTAGGCTCAGGCACACCAGGAGAAGACGCCAATGAACTGTGACGTTTTTTTCCAAGACTGTTTTTTCCAAGTGAGTTGTGGGATGGGACTGAACATTGAAAAATAACCAAGCCCGCACTCCAAAGTATGCCAACGAACAGGTTTTTTCCCCGCATTATGCACACTTCTCAATGTTGGGAGGGCTAAAACCCAAGTTGGAAGGGGGGAGGGGGCGGCCGAAGCCCCCCTTCAACTGAATAGGAAACTACACCCTGTGTGGCGTCATGCGTAATAGTCCAATTTCGTGCAAGCCGTGCGACGAGTGAAACCCAGATGTCAAGTAAATAAAATGATCGCTAGATGTCACCCTAATCGTTATCATAAATCTGGCTTTAATCCTCTTAACTTGTATCATTTTATTTTTCAATTTATGAAAATGTAACGCATCCTTCTAAATATTTCAAGAATATTTATGATTTTTTAAAATATGTGTTTTTGATGCAAGGTCTTTATCGATAGAAATGAAACACTGCCTCACAGCACTACATCCACCACCACACCGATTACCAAAACCGGAGTTTGCATGTCGGTGGAAGCGGCCTGGGCGTCTACGCTTAAGTACCGTTTGTTGTATGTTTTGTTGTATGCGGCATTTTAGGTATGAACTATTTTCGTACGATGCGCTCAAGATGTCAACGTCTTATCTGAAGAATCTTCGCTAGTGGATAAATAAGGTATATGATGCGCCATAAATGTCTGTAAACGTCTACTGATGCCCCAGAAGTGAAAAGTGAGTGTGCGCAGATGCATGTTATGCGCATGATGAGAAATATGACATTGTTTTAAGGGGAAATTGCAAGTACAATGATAGTTGTGTGTTACATGAGTACCTTTAAACCCAACTGTAAAGAAAACACACTTGATGGTTTTATAGTTCCAAAGAAATATACTTTGGATGGTTATACAATTCTGTTCATGATGCAATGTCTCTCCCTAGCATTGCAAAAAATTGTGGGTGCACATCATGAACAATAGACATATACAATTCAAACTGAGTTGCAACTATGTTGGGTATTAGATTACATGGTGATAGAGCCTCAGTTTAACTGAAAGGTCTCTACAGAGGTAAATTGACAGTAAATAGTTAAGGTTACATGGTGAGCCTGGCATGGCATGCTAGTGGAATGCCTGTATTGGATTTGACATAGCATTATTTTCTTTGGATTTAGTCTAATGGGGTGGCTGCCCCCTTAGTCACTCAGCATCTGCACCCTTGCAGTCAGTGATGCAGGCCTTCAGATAAAACATCAGGGGCCTTGTATGCAGCCCATGGATATCTAAACTATGAGGTTGAAATACAAGGTTAGGTTTGTGCACAAATTAAGTTAGATGTATACTAAACAAAAGCTTTGTCTCTACTTGACATAGGCTAAGGATTTAATGATGGTGTAGACTCATATTTCATGTTGCACTTTAATGTTGCCCATTTTGTTGTATTACAAGAACCATAAAACATTTTTCAATGTGACTAATAAAAATCATGTTTTAGCTGCCACTACTTCAATATTATTGATTCTTTTTAGCTACATGAGTGGTCATACAAGCAGCCACAACATGATCAGCACAACATGGTAGCTATAAAGACAACTATGAGATGGTTGAGGCAAATGTGGCATGTGTAGCCTTTGGGTTTAGATGATAAGAAAGTGCTTGAAATTAATTGTGTTTGTTTTTAGACTATGTGGATCAGATATATGCTTCAGGTTTTGTGTGATCAATTGATAAGTACCACCTTTTGCTGCTGCTTTATCCTGATGTTATCCTACCAATGTTTAAAATGCTGTTGACAATGTGAAGTCAGAATAATTTCATGGCAAAATGCAATGGCTTGCATAATATATTTCATAGAACATAGATGTACAACAGGGTGCTACTAGTGCCCACCTGGGTTGTAGCATATGCAAGGATGCATTGCACTTTGTCAGCTAAATCTCCAAGACTCAATGTTTATAACTTTGTTGTTTTTAAAGGTGGTATCACTACTGTTGTGGGCTTTAAAGATGTGTTATATAAATATTCATGTTTCAAGAGGTCATGCAATTGTGAGTCATTACTATCTTTCAAAAAGTTTAAATTTTACATATTTGCATGGGTTGTATGTATGTGTAAGCACCAAGACTAACATGTCAAAAGGCAATGGCATTCCCAAGTTCCTTGTATCACCCACAGTCTGCAAGCAATAGCAGGGATGAGACAAGATGTTTGGAACAGCCTGAATCCCACCCCTTATGAGACAGGCAGCTGCGTATTTTGGGTACCTTTTGCTGACCGAACCTGCCCTCCATGACGTGTCTTCTCATCAAATTTAGATAATTTATGTTCAGTGATGGCATGGTGGACAGAAGGTAACTTGAGCTGCTTTACTTTGGAAATTCCAGCCATCAAAGTTTTGAAAGTGCAGTAATTGTAATTTTTGATCCAATCTGTATTGCAATAATATCTTACTGATACCAGCAATTGCTGCCTGTCACCCACATGTCTACATGCTAGATTTATTCATGGATGCCCTGTATATATATATATATATATATATATATATATATATATATATCTACACAGTTCTCTGCAGAGATGTAGTTTCACAAAATGAATTTGGGGAGGGGAAGGGCTGAGCAGTGAAATGACCCAAAGTACCATCAAAATATGCCAGCAAATGGATTTCTCACCAGATTTGGTTCATGTTCTTTGCAAAGTTGGGGGGGGGGGGGGGCTGGATACTAAGTTAGGGGGCTGAAGCCTCCCCTAACTGAAGATGAAAATACAGACCCCCTGGTTATCTGGTGTCCAATGTGGTGGCACTGAATAACATGGACACTGGGTGCCACATGACCAACATAGTTGGCATGCCTTTAAGTCAAAATCATCACAAATGACATGAACAGTAAGCTGTGAGAAGTACCCAGAAGATGCATCAGCTGCTAAAAGAGCTGTCATCTAAGGGATTGGTCATTCAATGAATAGGACATTAGGGCACTGATGTGTGCCTGTCATTTAAGAAGTCACCTGTGTTACCCCCAGCACCAATAAGTGATGTGAAAAAAGGTGAATTAGTAGATTGGTAGCAAGGCCTTTAATGATGAAAAGACTTAGCTTGAATATGAATGGTTTTGTGAGAACAGATGTGTACAAGAATAGGTGTCATGATAAAATTGGATGTTGATTAGATTTAAAATGCTACTGTATGGTTACATTTGAAGAATCTTACAAAATACTGTTAAGATAGATTTGTAGTATATAGCTCTTTAGGATGCTTATTCAAGTATTTTGCATATTCTTTATTGTTGCCACACTATAAATTGACTGCTTTGTACCATCTTGTAAAAAATACTATCAAAGTTATAAGTAAAGCTAATCTGATGATGTCATGAAGTTATATGAATTTCTTTGTTGGCTGTCTCAGAAGTCATTGGCTCTTATGTCATTTGTCATGTCATTGACATTGGTTCTCATCTCATTTGAAAATGGGGTATGGAAAGAGTTAAATTGAGTCATACTGGACCTAACATTATTTTGCCAGCTGTGTTATGCTGTTAAATGGTATTGCTGACCATTGCATGGCATGACTTTTCCTTCACCTAGGCATCTTTGGGCTGTACCAAAAATATGTACAACAATTAAAATTGTACAACAATTGTACAACAATTTAAATATGTACAACTATTGGGATTGTTAACTGTTGGTACTAGAATGTGTGTTGTATGACATTTTTAAAAAGCATGCTGGTATTTGACACCACAAAATATAGGATTCAATGGGTTAGTGACATTCTCCAGCTGGCATATGTCTTTTTGATAACTTGTGACATTGCTTAATATTGACATTTGTCTGGCTTCTCCCAAGTCATGTAAGTGTGAAATGTCCTGAAGCATCTTGAAACCAATGCTGCCAAGTTATATCACAGTTGCTGAAATGTTTCGCTTTGTATAAATAAATGTGTTCATCATGTGTAGCAAATATTCTTGGTGGTGCAGTTACTGCATTGGTGTTCATCACTATGACATTTTTGTGCCTACATTGTACCTTAGATGTTGTAGGCTGGCCATATTATCAAATCAGAGTTGAAAGGCAACACACATCTGGAATGGCTTGTGCTTGCATTGTGCTTTATTTGAGGCCACATCAGTATTGGTTCAATGTGAGCTAGCAAATTGGTTGTGCCTGTAATTGCAATGGCATGGGATCAAAGGGATACTTGCTGGCTGCTGTTCATGAACCTCTGACTGATAAGTGAGCTGTCTTCAGATTTAACTTATTTGTTGTATCATTTTTTTCAGAAGCATGGATGATGACAAAGCATCTGAGGGCAGTGGATATTGCCACAATCATCAGACACCATCTGAGTGTACCTCAGATGATGATTCAGATGCTCAACCAGCAGAAGGTCAGTACTCTGCCAGTCAGCATAAGTGTGAGCATTGTATGGGTAGCAGTTTTCACAGAACCTTAAAATTCCATTTTTGCATGGGTCTGATAAATGAGATTTGAATCATAGCTATGGATCAGCATCAAGAAGTAATTGTATAGGCCTTAGTTAAACACATGAGTTGTAAGCAAGAAGCTCTTTTGATATCCTCATTCAAGAGACATGTTCAATGAACATGCTGCACTTATCCTGACTCACCATATTTTTGGCAGTCATGGCTCTTTATGGGAAGGCTTGGGATTATAAACTGCAGTGGTAGGTTTCTTGTCTCATGGCCATAGGTGCAAGGTCATCTCCTTCAACCACATTTGCTTTTACCTGGCAGCCATTGAAATGGACCCTTGTGCTGCCTTTAAACCATGTATCTGTGTGCCTGTGTTGTCCAGCCTTGAGTAAGGTGAGGATTCATAGAAGAGATCAAATCACTCCTTATGAGATCAGGCCACATTTGACATAGAGAGCAGGGTTGGGTAAGGACAGACATGATGGGTACCATATTTTGCTGTCGGTGATGTGTAGGATGGATGTGTAAATAGCACAAACCTTTCCAAGCTAAACAATTGTCAGTAGTAATCAGAAAGCCAGAACTTTGAGCCACAGACCCCAAGAAACTGTGAAATGAGAATATGAGATGCTTAATTTCACATGAAGGTGTCCTGTAAGCACCAAGGATCTTAGAGGGTTTTAGGGTGACAAGATGTCCAAGCATTGAACCCTTGATATTAACACATTCTTTCCAAAGGTATCAATGGGCCTCTCTCATGCACATCATCTGCACCAGGGCATAAACTAGGCAAGAGATTGTGTGGTTGACCCATTCTTTGAACATTCACTGACAATTCCAATGCTGCAAACAGTAATGATTTGTTTTATAACATACCATGTGATCAATGTGATGGTTTGGTATGGTTATTGTCATATAGATATCACATAACTGTTGATGTGTTGCCTGTTTGGATTCCTCAGGGGTGGAAGCGGTGGCAGTCGGCGGCACTGGTCATGTGCCGGATGTCTGTCCCATCTGCCTGCACAGCCTTCGCGGCCGCGAGGTGGCGTCCCCGGACGTCTGCCAGCACATGTTCTGCCTACATCACATCCTGCAGTGGTCCAAGGTAGGTCGGTGCTGCTGGTAAGCCGTTTTCTCTGGCATAGGTGATTGACATAGCCTGTTGCCATATCCTAGTTGTTGCCATGACTTGTTCCACCCAGCGGCATTCCACGCCGCCCTGTCCCCGACGTTCACCCGGCCAGCCGCCATGTGCCGGCCGCTGACCTGACCTGGCTTTCTGAGCCGGATGTACTGACCTGACCCCGGCCGCAGGTGGTGACGCTGTGCCCGGTGGACCGGCGGGCGTTCTCGGCGCTGCTGGTGCGCCGCTCGGTCGGCGGTGCAGTGATCGGCACCGTGCCCGTCCGCCAGAGACAGGCGGCCGACGCCGAGGCGCCGGCTTGCGCCGCCGTCCGCCGCCCGTCGCCTGCCGACGCCGCCCTGATGGTACGGCCGATGCAGGGTGTGCCGTCTGGCGTCCCGGCGCCGGCAGAGGCGTGCGGTGTCTTGTGTCGGTATTTAATGGGTGATTCCATGAGGTGCAGTCGTGAATTGAAGAATTTGCGAACATCGTGTTATTGACCTATTTATGATTGTTTTTCGCTTGATTGCTCGAAGTCGTCGGTCCCCCGTGTGTTTGTGCATGCCTGGGTTATCTGTGTTGTACAGTATCTACGAACATGGTCGTGTGTGGCATTGTTTCTACCAAGATGGCGAGCACGACTGCTTGCCGTAATCCGTGCATTGAGCGGCGTGGTCCCCGCAGGTGCCGATGTCTGTCACGGAGTCGGCCGAGCCGGGACCGGCCAGCGATGACAGCGACTGGGAGGGCGCGGCCGGCGGCGGGGGCGCCACGCGGTGCCGGGCGCGCTCCAGCCGCGCCGCCGCCCTGGCGCGCCTGAAACAGCGCGCCATCGGCCGGCCGCCGCCCGCCTCCTACTCACGATTACGGCGCGCGCGCAACCCGCGCACGGTGCCGCTAGCGTGCGCCGCCGGCGTGCAGCCGGTCGGCGGTGGTCCCCGGCGGAGAGCGGCTGACGCCGCAGCAGCCTGGCACGTCCCCAGCCGACGCGTACGACCAGCGGCCGGCCGGCGACCTCGCGGCCCGCCCGCAGACGGCCGCCAACGGAGCTGGCGGCGGCGCGGCCGGCGGCCAGCCGCCCGCCCCCATGGGCGGCGGCGAGGGCGGCCCGCCGACGACGCTCAAACCTGTGATAGAGGACGACCGCGACCGCGAGCGCACGGACGAGGCGGTCGACGACGACCCGACGGACGAGGAGTCCGGCTCTGAGCAGGACGAGGGACTCGGTCCCGAGCGCGCGGACTCTACCCTCGATCCAAAATCGGCTGTCGAAGGCGACGCCGAACCCGTAGAAGAGGACGTCGACCTGGATCGGACGGAGGACAGTGTCGACCCCGTTTCGGCAGACCAAGGTGTTGATGGCGATGAGGCGGACCTTTATGCCGACCGCGAGCCTGCCAGTCCGGACGCCGCCCAGGGACCGACGGTTTCTAATGTCAGTCATGGGGAACTAGAAGATGCCAGTCAAGAACGGAAGGACGATGTTGACGATCCAGAACATGTCGATGCTGTGGCTGATCCTGCGCGGGTAGGTGAGGTTGTAAAGCCTGAACGGATAGACGAAGACATGTATTCGGAGTTGGCAGACATAAGCGCCGACCCTTGGCGGATGGTCAGAGATGTTGATTCTCAGAGGACAGAAAAAGACATCGGTGATGAACATATAAACGAAGCGAAAGAGCAGGTAGGCGAAGACATTGATTCAGAATCGATAGACGAGGATGTCGACTCCGAGCGAATAGCTGCCGCTGCTGGCACTGGGCTGGTTGCCGCAGGCGTGGATTCTGTACAGATCGATGAATGCATCGATTCTGAGAGCGCAGACAAAGACATTTCTCTAGAGCAGCTAGATGTCGGAGTGGGCCTAGAACGGATAAGCGGGGACTTAGACTCAGAGCGCACCTTCGGAGGCGGTGATGCCGAGTGGGTGGGCGGATCTGGTGACCCGGAGCGGGAGAGATGCCGGTCGGGACGCCAGGGGCGGGCGGCGCGCCTCCAGCCCGATGGACGCCGCTCCGAGCGAGGGGTGACACGGGCGACGCTGGCCCGCCTCAGAGCCCTGGTCAGGAGCAGGACGACATAGGTGACCCCTACCCGCCCGGCCGCGCCAGCCTCGAAGGCGACGCTGGCCCGACCCAGCGCCCCAGCCAGGAGGAGGACGTGGACCTGTATGGCGATATCGAGATGCCGGAGGACAGGGCGTCGGAGGGCGCCTCCCCGACTTACTCACCGGTCACCTCGGCGGCCGGCTCGCCGTCGGCCTCCCCGTCGCCGGCGCGCGAGCCAAGCACTGATCCGCCGCTGGGAGTGGCTCACGGTCCGCCAGGCGTGCAGGACGCCAGCGACGTCTCCAGCGACGAGGACCTGGTGATCGACGAGGCCGGCCGACCGGTGTCGCCCGAGCTGGTGCCCAGCCCGGCCCCCGCCGTCAACGGGCCGGCGGCCGGCGCGGAGAGCTGGCGCCCGCTGCCCGTCGAGAGCATCTCGTCGCCGGAGAGCTTCGGGCCCGACCAGGAGGAGGCGGAGGAGGTCGAGCTACCGTCGCCACCGCCGCCGCCGTCACCCCTACCGCCGCCGCCGGAGCAGGAGGAGTTTCAGTCCGTGCGCGAAGAGGCGTCTGCGGCCGCCCCGGCGCCCTCGACCGCCGACGCGCCGGTGGCGAAGCCGCTGCTCAGCCTTGACACAGAGCAGATCTCGGACAACGAGGAGGATGGCTTCGACGATGGCATGGAGGAGGGCGAGCTCCCGTCCGAGCGGCCGCCCACCCCGTCGCCGCCGCCTCCGCCGCCTCCAGCGCCGCCGCCTCCCGCCCCGGCGCGACCCACCGATTGGATGGACGCCGACGACGAGCTGGACCAGCCGGAGGGTGACTTCGAGGAGGGTGAGATCCCGTCCGAGCCGCCGCCGGAGCCGGCCGAACGGCCAGCGGTGGCTGCGGAGGAGCCGGTGGCCGCCACGCCGCCGCCACCACCGCTGACGCCGCCACTCTCGCCGTCCAATGAGGCGCCGCCCGACGGCGATTACGAGGAGGGCGAGATCGTGGAGGAGCGGCCACCGTCGACGGACGAACGGCCGCCGTCGGCGGACGATCGGGCGCTGGAAGTGGCCGAGCCGGTGGCGCCGCACGGCTCGCCGCGGCCCGAGCAGGCGCCGTGCCGCTCGCCGAGCGACGAGCCGGTGCCGTCGCTGCGGGAAACGTCTGCCTCCGGCAGCTTACAGCTGCCCATCGCCGCTGACGACGCGCCTGACGTGGACGAGGACATACGCGACTTTGTCGTCAGCGAGAAGACCATCACCGGGCTTGGGCCGGACGACGGCGAAGAGGTCGGCTGGAAGAAATTCTCGCGTAGCGCGCGCGACCGCAACTACCGTGATGGCAAGCCGACCGACCGCGCCATCGCACGCAGCAAAGAGGTGGGTGAGCCGAGGCCGGAGCGCAAGCGTTCACCGCCCGCCGACGGCCGTAAGGGCAAGAAGCGCGATATCCAGCGCTACGACGTGCGCAAGGTGATCAACGAGCGGAAGATGCGCGCCCAGGAGAACCAGGAACGTTCGGTGCATTCGCGCCGCTCGCGCTCGCGCTCGTCCAGCTCGACTGGATCGCGCTCGCCGGCGGCGGTGCGGCGCCGGGACTCGTCCCGCGGTCAGCGGCGGCGCCGCTCGGCCAGCGCGCCGCGCTCTCCCAGCCGCCGCCAGCGCGAGCACAGGCGCCACTCGCGCGAGAAGCGCTCGCCGCCGCGCCGCGAACGCTCGCGCCACTCGCCGGCGCGCCATTCGCCGGCGCGCCACTCGGCTTCGCGCCCCTCGCCTTCGCGGCATTCCCCGCTGAGATCGCCGCTTCAGAAACACACCACCTCGCCTGTGAAGAAGGTCAAAGAGAAAAAGAGGAAGCGGAGTGTGTCGCCGTCGCTGGCGCCGAAGAAGATGAAGAAGAAGAAAGACAAGCTAAAGAAGCAGAGCAAGGAGGAGAAGAAAAAGAAAAAGAAGCGCGCTAGGTCCCCGGTTTCTAAGGCTGTGATCGCGGATGGCGATAATTTGGTCGTCAGCGTGAACTTCTCAAAGGATAGAGACCGCATGGGTACCAAGAGCCGCGTGGTCCGCCACGAGGGGCGCGAACCGTCGCCGGACTTTAGCTCTATCCGAGAACGACCCACTCCGTCCAGGGACAGACGGTCACCGATCCGGGACAGACGGTCGCCGAATCAGGGACAGGCGGTCGCCGAATAGGGACAGGCGGTCGCCGATCAGGGACAAGAGGTCGCCGATCAGGGACCGCGACCGCGACCGCGACCTGCCACGCTGGGAGCCGCGCGAAAAGGAGCGCCCGAAGTCGGCGCGCGCCAGGCCGACCGAGCGCGAGCCGGACCCAGACACCGACCGGCTGCGTAGGGACGCGCGCAAAGAGAACAAGGACCCCAAGCAGACGGCGCGCGGCGAATACAAGAGCAGGGCGGACAGTGGCAGGAGGGCGTCTCCGTCGCCGCCGCAGCCGCCGCCGCGCTCCAGTAAGAGAGCGCGCAGTGTCACGCCGCCTCGCGAACGCAGGAGCCCGAGTCCGCGCGCTAGGAGCCCTGCGGCGCGCCCGCGGAGCCCCAGCCGGTCGGCGTCGCCGCCGCGCAAGTACGCACGCCGCTCGCGCTCCGGCAGTCGTTCCAGCTCGTGGTCTGGCTCGCAGTCGTCGTCATCGTCTTCGTCGTCGAGCGGCTCGCCGGCGCCACGCCGCCGGCGCTCGGACAGCACCGCGCGGCGCCGGCCGCAGCGCAGCCCCGACGTCATTGACCTGGACGACGTCGTCGAGCTGTCGCCACCCAAGGCCGAGCCGATCATCATCACGGACTCGGAGACGGAGACGGAGACGGAGCCGGCCGTGCGTGTGGTCGCGTCTACCACCGAGCCGGCCGTGCCGGCGCCGCGGGCCGCGCCCCCCTCGCGAGCGGCGCCGCGGAGTCCGCGGGGACCGAAGACGCCACCGGAGCCGGTGGCCCCGGAGCCGACCGTCAAGTTCTCGCTCAGCGCGAAATCGGCGGCAGTGCGGCTCATTACCAACCCGCTCGGCGAGGCGGACGACGAGCCGGAGCCGGAGCCACCGGCACCGCCGGTGGCAGCGGCGCCCGCCGCGACTGTGACGCAGGCGGTGTCGCGCGCGGCTGCACCGCCGGCGGTGTCGCGCGCGGGCCGCGCCACCGGCGGTGTCGCGCGCGGCCGCGCCACCGGTGGGGTCGCGCGCGGCCGTGCCGCCGGCGGGGTCGCGCGTAGGCGCTCAACCAGCGGCGGCGGCGCCTCGCGGTCCCAGCACGCCGCCCGAGCCGCCACCCTCGGATGCGTCCGAGGCCAAGTTCGGCGACCAGTACGATCCCGTTCGAGCCCACCCACTCGGGATCGGTGACGCCCGACTCGCCGCCGTCGCCGGATGCGGCCAGCCCGGAGCCGGCGCCGCGGCTGGGCGAGCCGCCGCCGCCGGCGCCCGAGCCGCTGCCGCCGGCGCCGGCCGCGGCCGACCCGACACCCACGCCGCCGCCACCGCCGCCGCCGCTACCCGCCGAGCAGCGCGACAGGCCGACGGAAAAGCCGCCGGAGCCGCGCCACTCGGCGGATGCCGAGCAGCGCGCGCCCGCAGCCGCCGCCACCGCCGCCGCGGTGAGTGTCCGCCGGCCACTGGTACGGTTTTGGACAGACGCTGGCTGGCAACGGTCGGAACGAGCTCGTGTGATGTTTGGGCGTGACGTGCAGTTTAGCAGGTGACTCAGGCAGGACGTTTCTGTGAGATGTTTGGCTGCAAAACGAGTTTACCGGTGAACAAGCATCCCCATTAGTTAGCTGGTCGGAATGGAGCCTTGGAGGTCCTATCGGAAGACCGTTTGTTCTTGCTGCGTAACGGCAAGCCGTGAATTGACTGCATGTAATTCTTACTTAAATCTCGAAGTCTACGTGCGCTACACTATGTGCAGCTGTAGGCATCCACGTGCTGTACCTGTTGTAGTTTCACTGGTGTGCTGCTCCTATGATGCACTACCCTGACAGCCGTGATCATATCGTTTCGTTGTGTTGGGCAGCCTCCTAGCCTCTTCGCGGGCCTGCCGCCGCCGTCGGCCGTCGCCACCGCGCTGACCGGCCTCCTGCCAGACACGTCTCGACCGCCACCCAGTCTGCCGGCTGCCGCCGCCGCCGCCGCCGCCGTGGTCGCCGCCGCCTCGGCCGTCGTGGCGGCGGCCGCCACGCCCGCCGCGCCTACCGTGCCGGCGCAGAACGGACAGCGCGGCTCGGCCGATGTAGTGGATATGGACATTGACTCGCCCTACTCGCCCGACTCGCCCAACTCGCCCGACTCGCGCGAGGGCGACGACCTGTTCGAGCCGCCGCGGCCGGCGCGCGGCGCTCCGCCGCCGGCTGGTCGCTCGCGCCGGATGGACCCCAAGGATCGGTTCGAAGCTCTGTTTGGCACGAGCCACGCCAAGGGCGCGGGCAAGGCGCCGCCCGGCAAGACGGCGGGCAAGGCGGCCCCGTCCGGCCGCCGCCCTGCCGCGCGTGCACGGCCCGCCAAGCGACGTGAGTCGGCCGTCCGGGGAGAGCAGAGAATGAGAGGTCTGGGTTGGGAGCGCTCGGCGTGGCGTGCGGGGAGGGAGAGGGTCTCGGCTGTCGTGAGCCGCGCCGGGCGACTGCAAACGGGGCGTACCGACTTCCGTCTGTTGCGTGGGATTTTCATACACGCTCGCGGTTTGAATTCCGTGAAGAGGGGCGGTTCCAAGTCGGAAAGTGATGGGATGGTGCTTGCAGTGTGAGGTATCATGTGCTACCGCCTAGTGCTGCTATATCACACTATTTGCTATTCTTTGAGGAAGATGAAATAGCATTGCGAAATACTTAACTTGTAAATCCCTGCTTGAAATAGTTGTTCACAGTGAAAGAGATGACGTGCCACTTTGAAACTCTACTTTTTACACATGGGATTTACACACGGAACTCAGTGATTTAAATGCTCCGAATGTGTCTGGGTGTGACTGCACGATTGTATAACTGCGAGTGCTCGACATGTTGTGCTATTCTCAATGCGCGTGTAGAAGCGTCTCTAACCCGTGTTCGGCATTGGCAGCTGCTGGTAAGGGTGGTTCGTCTACTGCGACCTCCGCCGCCGCCGAAGGGGAGGAGGGCCTCAAGGTCATTGACGACGTACCAAACTCGGCCGTGGAGATGCAGGTAAAGGAGAAGGTACGCTTGGCGCTTCGGTAGTGCGTAGTTTGGCCAACCTCTCCTTGTAGGCTGCAACGCTAGTGCTTACATGTTTTGCGCTCACTTAAGCGTTAGTGAAATTACGCACAAGCGTAAAGTAGACGGTCACGGTGTGACGTCGGTAAAACGAGGCAAACGTAGTTCAGGTGGCTAGAATATTTTGTTATGGGGTGCTTTCGATTTCAATATTGACGACTTCCTCGTTTGCTTTTTTGGACCAAGTGTTGGTTTAGCACAGGGACATTCTGCAGGGAAATTGTGCCAACAGGGCTTTGGCGTACGGAAAATTATGTTCTCAGTCATGTATTTGTACAGAGTTTTGGAACGCATGTCTGAGAACGATCGAGGTTTCATTACGATTTGCTATATCCCAACTATTTTGCATCCAAACACTGTTGAACGTGCATTGTTGGCTGATTTGACTGGCGTGGAGTGACGCTAGGTGCTCGGTGGAAGGTAGTGTTCCGCTGAGCGCCAGCTAGCAGCTTGTGTTCCGCTGAGCGCCAGGCAACAGCTGGTGTTCTGCTGGGCACCAGGTGGCAGCTGGTGTTCCGCTGAGCGCCAGGTAGCACCTGGTGTTCCGCTGAGCGCCAGCTAGCAGCTGGTGTTTCGCTGAGCGCCAGCTGACGGGATATCCACAGCGCCGGCTGAGAAGCTTCCCACACTCAGCCGGTCGGCGCCTCGGCGTGCTAGTGTGCTTACCGCTGCTGATGTGTAGTACCCCCAGCCCTGCCTACCAATATTTCACGCGCGCTGTACTGTCGGCTGAGCCTCTGGTGTCCGCAAGTGAGAGACACTGATTGGCTGTGTGCCCCGCCCCATGGCGTGTTGATGTAGAGGTCGGGCTGTGCCCTAAGCCCCGTCTATGGCGTCATCACCGATCTCCCTTTCGACTTATTTCAGCGTTGTTGGTTGTTAATTGTTTGCTGTCAGCTTCCGTAGTCGACTGGCGCCCATACGTATCAGTGGCCTTGTTTGGAGCCACAAGTTGACGCGACGCTGCTGATTTTCCCGCTTGCTCGCAGCAGGACTGAGCTGGTTGTTTGGGGCGTGTTCAGTCTCTAGCTGTCGGTGTAAGCCTGCTTTATGTGGAGTTCGGCGTCTGTCACTTCTCAAGATTCTTTCGCTTTCTCGTTGTCAAGAATTCTGCTCCTCTCTGTATTCGCCTTGCAGCGACATTACCTAAAATGTCTACGTAATCGACTGACCAAAATCTATCAGCCGCCTACCAGTGATGACATCAAACTAGTGACGCGTGACGGCGATGTGCGTACGGGCCGCTCAGCTGACTGTTTTGCTACGCACTGGTACCCGGTACGCCTGCTGGGGCCTCACCAGGCGGTGTGCGTCGGCTGACGGTGGGGGTGCGGTCGCTTTCAGTTCCTGAAGAAGCTGAACCGACAGGAGCGGGTCATCGAGGAGGTGAAGCTGGTGCTGAAGCCGTTCTACCACAAGCGCACCGTCACCAAGGAGCAGTACAAGGAGATACTGCGCAAGTCCGTGCCGAAGGTGAGGTGGAGGGGCGGGTGCAGGCTGGCGGTGACGGGGCTCGTGAGGTGCGACCTCCGACGTCCGGCCCTCGTCGAGTCGCCGCCTGGCAGCTGGGCGCACGTGGAGTGCCGTCCCACTCCGGAGTGCCGGGCGCGCTGTAACGTGGCTCGTTCGAACACAGGGGCGACAGCTGCCAGCAGCGCTGCCACCTGCGAGTGGTGGCCGTGCGGATCGCTGGCATGAGCTCGTCTCTGTGCCATGCTCGTGTCTGCGGGACGTGGCTGTCGGACTGCGCGTTGTGCGTTGTGTGTCGCAGCGTACCTCCGCTGTTGAGCCGTCTGGCAAGTGCTGTGTCGCTGTTGGATCACTGTCACGCCCGACCGTCTCGCGTTCGGTTCCAGCGCTGACGTGGGTCACATACGACGTTGGTGTCGCACTGAACATTTCTGACCATGTAATACATCTCCCTGGCAGATCTGTCACAGCAAGTCGGGTGAGATTAACCCGAAGAAGATTCACTCGCTCATCATCAGCTATGTGAAGAAGTGCAAATATGTCAACAAAAAGAACAACGTTGTGGTGCCCAACGCTAATTCGTCTACGCCTGCGAAGACGAAAGTGTGACACACGTGACGCGCGGGACGTTGACGAAATGAGTGCTTTTCATTAGTGCTATTTATATTGTGCATTTGTTACTAGATTTATTGGTGCGTGTTTTGGACGTCGCAAGTCTCTGTGGCCGCCGCTGGGCGTAAACGTTTCGGCCAGGGCCATGGTTTGAGAATAGTGATGATTTTGACGGGCTGTGCGGCGCGCGCATCAGTAACGGACCCGCGAACCGTGCCGCGTCGGACCGTGCAAGCCTCACCGGTCGTATGTGCCCCTCCCCCCCCCCCCCCCGCCTCGCGACTCGGGCTAGCGCGCTCTCGGATGATGTGGACGGAGGGCAGCTCAGAAAGGCCAGGAAATACAGTGTTGTACAAATGATGTGTTGATGGGAGCGGGAGGTCGCCGTGGATTGATCTGTGTTGTGCCATGGAGTGGCCTGGCGCTGGCATGCAGCCATGTTGGCTGAGATGACCGGTTTTTGGAAACGTTCGAGGCGAACAATGCCTCAGGATCCTTGTGAGCGCTTGAAGTGCCATTACCCAGTCGTTGATGTACACAGCCGAGCTGGTAGCTATCCTCGAGGAGCTCTTCATTAAGGTTGGTGACGAGACACATTTGATTTTTTCTGACTCGCCTAGCAGTCCGTTGGGACGCCTCTGTCAGTCAGTCGGCTGAGGCCCCCAATGCCGAACAGCCTTTTATGTACCGATTCAGGCTTCATGGCCCCTTTCCCCAGCAGAGTCAACGCCGGGGCCAGAAAATGCGAACCAGAACGCCTCTTGCATTGGTGGGTGTCCTGAAACAGAGGCTCTTGTGCCGTTCAGGGGCCTGCACTCCTAACGGGGAGCCTGTGTGGGTAATGGGCACCGATGGACCAGGGACACATTTCCTGAACAAGGACAGACACTGAACTCCGAACGTCGAGGGGCCTCTGGAGTTGGTGCGGGCCTCTCAGCAATGAAAGGAGATATAAAAAGGACGATGCAAAGGCTCACAACCACAATGAAACAAAGATAAGGCCCTGTGTCAGTCAGTGGCCCGGTACCAAACGAGGGTCCTCCACACAGTTTCAACTACTGGCCCATAATACGAATTTGTGTCTCGGTGCCAATGGCTGGACGCCCTGTACCGGAGAGAGCTCCTTTTGTGTCAGCAAGGTCAGACCCTACGTCGGTCCGGTCAGAGGGCCTGCCACACCAAGGAAAGGACTGGCGTGGTGCACGTCGCGTTCTTCCGAAGGCATGAGATCGGCAAGTGGCAGGGGTGCAGTTTCACAAAATGATTTCGGACCGAACCGTGAAAAATGACCAAAGCTACCAGCAAAATACGCCAACAAACAGGGTTTTCCACAAATTTGACACTTCCCAAAGTTGGGGGCCCAAGCGGGAGGGGGTGGGGGGGGGGGACTGAAGCCCCCTGCCGCAAACTGGAAAGAAAAACGGGGTGGAACGGAAAGATTAATTAGCTCCTGACCAGCGATTTCTACCCGCGTATCTCCAGTATAAATTCCATTACCGGAATTGCAAGTTACAGCAACACGAGCAATAGAGATTACGCCATTGTTTCATGAGTTAGTGGTGCTGTGCGTGCTAATCCGTACCGACTTCCAAACATTAACACGTGCCCGGGTGGCCGACTAGATACCCTTTTACAGAGTGTATTGACCTGTACGTTAGCTCACTGAGGTCAAAGCTTGAGGTTCCTAGGTCATGATCTTCCGGTCAAAAAGGTCAAACAAGGTCAAGCTCCAGATTGGTCTCCGAAGTGCCCCCAGAACCTAGATAACAGTTTCTAAGCAAAAGGTCGCATTCTCATTCAAGGTCAGTGACCTTGTTTGACCTTTGGAAGGTCAAGGTAACCAAAAGCATACAAGATTGCTTTGAGTTTTGAATTTGACTACGCGACAAAGATTAACTGGGCAGCATGTTCCTAAAACAAAATTTTATAGTTCAGTGACCTATTCTGACCTCTAAGAAGTCCATGAAAGACTATAATGAGGTTCTTGCTATCAATAAACTCGAAATGAGCACCAGAAACTATCCCATACAGCAAGCCCTAGAGTAACAAAACAGGTTGGTTTTGACCTTGGTGTGACCTTCATACCTGACCTTAGGCCAATGTAATTGCTCATTCAACTGTTGTGTTGGCTAAGAAAGCATCTCAGAGACGTACGGTTTCGTCTAATGCTCCGTTGTCGAATCAGATTGAAGGATTCCCTGGAAATTGCCTCCGCTGAAACCATGGCCTGACTTTGACCTGCCATAGGTCAGCGACCTTGCAAGTTATATCTAAATTTTTGATGTCCAACAATCCGCTATTCAATTTTCTAAAGCTATGCAACATTTGGCGCGGCTACGCCGCGCCGTTCGGAAACCATTCAGGAAAAACCTTCGGGGGGTCAATTTGACCCCCATCCGGACGCGTGTTAAGGTGAAAGTCGCACAGCTGAAATGTACGATTCGGGATACTATCCACACGCCTACGAATTGATTTCGTGAGGCGTTCGAAACTGCCACTCCGATGTTTGGCCGTTTTCCACCACCTGTTGATGCCCACTGGGTGTCGGCTGCCAGGTCGATGGCAGCGGAGACTGCAACGCCCAGCGCCGGTGTTCGTACTCCTAGACTGCGAGCGCCCATGTTTAAAACTATTGTGCGTAACTTCTAGCTGATTAATTCTGAGGAAGAGATGAACTTCTCCACATGAACAAGAGTACGGCACATTAATGCAAATTATTGGCTTTGTTTCAATCCACGCCGGCGTTCAATCATTGAGGTCATCCATATTTTCGTAAAAGTCCGAGAAAATCCAGCAACGCCCCTAGCTGATATCCGTTTTATTGAAAGAGCCGAGTAAGCCATTGCAAAAGGAAAGGGCCAGCGATTTATTCTGTGCGGTCATTCAATTCCAGGTTGATATTATATGTGCATCCAAATCCATGCACAATTGTATTTCTGATAATTTTGGCTTCTCTTCAAGTCAGCACAGCTGAACATAAAAATAAAAAATTGCTCGCTCAAAACGCAGCGAGATACACCCGGCGGACAACACTTGAGGTACGATTTGAAGGATTGGATTTCCTGTTTTTCCAGCGCCGCCGGTCCTTTTTAACCGCGGTGATCCTCTCTCACGGTTACTGTGGCTGTGACCCTGGCCGTAGTGTCCATGAACCCCTTGATAAGATCCCGGAAGTTGTTCCAGGTCAGCGCAGCCAATAGGGTGGCACCATTCCTCTAGGCCCCCTTTTTTATTTTAGGGTCCAGATGGCTGTTCACAGAAAGCGTAAATAGATGTACACTTTACCTCGGACAGTGCATTCAGTGACATCCATCGCAATTGAGCAGACAGGTGCAAGGCAACAGCAATAGCAGTTGAACATGTCTGGACACAGCCGAATGATGTGATGCAAACGATGTTATACAAATACAAACGATAAGGGCAAGGCTGAAGTGTGAGTCGGACAAATTTGCCGCTGACGCACACGTAAGTAACTGACTACGTAAATATAAAACCGCAGATGAATCGTTCCGCTTCAGCGCTATGAAAAGCTATTCATCGAACTCGCAATCACGTTTCACAGTTGAATGGCCAGCAGATGTAAATCTGAACACGTAACCCCCGCATATGCAAAGTTGGTAGCAGATCACTGAAGTCACCTCTTTGAGATGTGCGAAGCAATGTGCATGATAAATATTTTTGAGGACAGTAGCAGTAAAAATACGCATTCACATCAGCGCTGCCTTATCTTCGTCTCATGCTCGGAGGTCACGCATTAAAGAAGCGGTTAACTGAAAAATGATTTAAGCTAGCAGCATCGGGATAACGTGGCCTATTCATGGCCGTTCTAGGATCGGCTTCGCTGTGACCGGGTCGGCCGTTTTAGAATACGCCGCACTGTAACCACGGGGCCGTTCTACGATCAGCCGTGCTGTGACTGATTGACTGGGCGTTCCGGGGACCAGCCGCGCTGACTGACCCGGCCGTTCCAGTCTCGACCGCGCTGTGACCGACTCGGCCGTTCTAGGATCCGCTATGTTGCGACCGACCCCGGACATTTCGCTCAGAGCCGTGCTATAGCCGGCATTGGACCGTTCCGGGATTGGTCGTGGGTATGACTAATCCGGGGCTACCGGCTCATCCGGGTGGCCGGGGACTACTGGGGGCGGACGAGCGGCGCCGCGATCTCCGCCTGCCCTGTCTCACCGGGTTCGGCTGGTCGAGGAGACCAGCGCACGCGGCTCCTGGTTCAGTGCACGACCAGTCGCACCCTGCCGTCCCCGTACCATCCGCCGGGTCCCTTCTCGCGCTCCGGTTCTCTTGTGCCGTCGGTGGTGGCGGCTCCCACACTCGGTGCTCGAGCCGTTGGTCGACTAGTTGAACAGATGTCTCAGTTGGCTGTTTGCTACGCCCCCCCCCCCCCCCCTCCCCCCCATTGCCAGTGGAGACAGACGCCATTGAAATTCAACGTACTTCTACTTACAAGCATTTTTACATCAGTCATCGGCGAATATTAGGTGCATTACGGGTCATTTCATAGTCGACATCACAGCGCTGTTTAAAATGGCGAATCGCACAGAAATGCCGCTCTACCTCACAAAATGCCTCCTACTCACATCGTAGTAGGTTACGATCCATGGATACGTAGGATGCGCAGAAAAGCGATCTAATTGGCAGCAGTACCCCACACACCCGCGCAAGCGGATGCACGCAATCGTCTCCATCCTCCATAGGTGAACAATAAAACGCCGTCTCAGGTAGGCTTATTCCAATACTCAGGTAGGTTGTCTCTGGTACCCCAACGTCGCTGTCGATTTCAAAGGCTTTCATGGTGTATAAAAAACACGGGATGCACGTTATTTATATTGGCGAAAGCATTACGCAGTCAACACGCAACATCCGCCCACCTTCTTGATTTTCTCCTCAGCCAACCGGGAGAAGAACTTGGCCTTGACAATCACCGGCTGCTTGGGCAGCAGGCCCTTGCCCAGCACCTTGTAGTAGCCGGCTTTGACCACGTCTATGACGGGCGCCTTGTCCGTGTGCTTCTGGAAGTGCACGCGGGTGTCTTCGGACACGAGTGACCACACCTTGTCCAAGTTGATGGCCGGGCGGAACTTGCGATTCTTGTGGATGTGGAAGTCTCTCATACCGACCTGTCATACACAGGAATGGTCATGATACAGTAGCAGGAACAATGTTCACATGTCTGCTCCAGTTATAGCTGGTTGCAACATGGTCTGGTCGGTCAGGTTGTAACTGACTAACATGGCCGTGTGAAACCGCGGATAAGCCACGCCCGCCGTCCTTTCATGCTTCCTTCAGTGCCGAAACTGAACAATTGCAACATATGTACTGACAAGTGCAACACACAACAGGCATACTGCCATGCAACACACACATACACCTTTGCAGAACTTCGGGATTTGATGAAATTGTGCAAACCATTCTGTGCAGAGAATTTAATCAA